CCCCCCCCCCTCTTCCCCCCCCAAAAAAAGGGAGTAATATTTGGAAGTATAACTAATCCCAAGTGCTGGAGTTTTGGGGTCATATGTAGAGGAAACTTTTGTTTACCTGGAGTCAAGATGGATTTTCATTGTCTTAAGCACTGTTGAACACATCAAAACATCCTGTCACATGACTTGAAGAAATTATCACAAGTCTCTTCACATGTCTATAGCCAATACTAATTTCTTCCTGAGATTGTACAATAGCAGCATCCTTGTGCAATGATAATGGTCACTCTGACACTATTCCCTGTTTTCTTCTGGTTTTGCTATGATTCAGTGGGGACAGAATCTTACGTTGATGTATGACCGCGTCTTACAATTCCCAGACCGTGCCAATAACTTATACTTCACTTTCCTGTTTTTGCTCCGCGCTGTTACCAAAGTGAGTATTTTAATCTATGTACTTGCTTGACCCACCCCGCCCAACCCCCTAATGGGAGAGGAGCAGCAAGAGAAGTGATGACGACTGATAACTTATTTAATACTTTTGCAGGCAGCAGACTACTTGGACCAGGCTTCATATGATACTGGAAACCCTGAGGATGATCTAAAGACACAATCTTGGATGAAACAATTGGTTTACAATCCCAAGCTGCAAGCTGCATGTCCTTTACCTTTCGATGAAGCGAGGCTATGGAAAGGTCAAAGCGAGCCTGACCTGATGCAGCAAATTCAGACGCAGTTCAGAAACATCAGGTCTTCAATTGATTTCCCTGATGATTGATACTTCTCTAGAATGGAATGCTTTTACTTGTGTTTCAAAATCATGCACCTGGAGAAATCCTTTACGTTTTTGCTGTCTATACAATGAAGAGAATCGTGTTCTTAATTAATTATCTTACTTCTTCTCATTTCTTATTGTTGAATTAGTATTAGCATCTATTTGTGAACATAATCGCACATGTTATATGATTCAAGTTTGTTGGGAGCAGAATAACTCGGTATGCAGTTTTCCTTCTAGATACGTCATTTACCTTGTTGAGAAACTATAATAGTATCTTCTGCTTGGATATCTTGGTGGTATACCATCTATTAACGTATTTTTTATGGTGTCTGACCAAAATTGTAGTGCATTGATGGACTGCATTGGATGTGAAAAATGTCGTCTTTGGGGAAAGCTTCAGGTTCTTGGTCTTGGTACAGCGTTAAAGATCCTATTCTCTGTCAATGGTCCAGAACGTTTAGGTGAAACTGTAAGTGTTATGCAGAAGAATGACTCTCATTAGCCTTATCTAAAGCAAGTTCCAGTTTATTCTGTTTGATATGAATTAATGACCAACAGTTTGTACCTTCCTTGTAGATTACTTTTAGTTTCCGTTCATTAAGGTTACGTATTGTGTTTATATATGTACATTCCTTAGATTTTGTTAGAAGTTCAAAAGAAAAGGAAAGATATCTAAACTTATGGCATGTGTTTCTGCATCTTGCATTTGACTTTCTTCATAGTTTGTTACTTGTTGCTTAAGCAAATGTCTAATGGAGGCCATTTTTTTCTGTTTGTATATTGTTTCAGCTGCATTTTCAACGGAATGAAGTTATAGCATTGATTAACTTACTGAATCGTCTTTCAGAATCTGTTATGCTTGTACATGAAATGGGGCCCTCGCTCGAAAATGTTATGAGAACACAAATTTCTACACCTAGTGATCAACCATTGATGACTGGGGGGGCATACTAATGTATAGTTATCATAGTGGAGGCAACTTCGGTTGCACATTATGCTGTTTTGCTACTACTGTGTATGAGGAAAATATAAGTTTAACAACAGAAACTATTAGTATTTGCGGCAGAGCTGTCTTCCCTATATCCAAGCTAGAGATAGAAGTTGCCTCCTGTATCGACAAGAACAAGAAGTTCGACTTTCCAACAATCCCTATTGAAGGTGGAGCTTCTTTTTCTTTTTTTGGTTGGGGATGTTTTGTAGCCAGGATGTACAAGCTGATTTCTGTCTTTTTCCCTTTCTTTTTTTCCCTTTCTGTGAGAATGATTGATCTTGTACACATCAAGTCCATAGAAACATATGTAAAATGTAATCCTTTCAATTTTTAGTTCAACGTATTGCAGTTCTAATGCTACAGATCATGTTACTGCAACTTATATGTTATGTGATAGACGTTTTCTGTAAGAGTTTTGGAAGGCAGTTGGTTTGTTCAGTGTATTGTTGGAGCTGCTAAAAGAAAATGCATATCTTTATATAATACAGGAGAAATTTGTATGTAAAACTCATACCTTATACGTGCTTACGATTCCAGTTTCAATATAATTCAGTTGAGTTTCAATGAAGGAAAAAAAAAATACCATAAAAAGTGGAGAGAATGTAATACAAGACCATAAGAATTGGAGAACTGGTGTCTTCATATCTTTATCTTAATTATTTTCTCTCTTGTTATTTATGGCAAATAACCTTAATTATGTTATCATCTTGGCCATCATTAAAGTTGATCATTTAAGTTGATCATCTTCTCTTCTCAAACATATATAATGCATACCCTAGATTTTTTTAGATGTATACTCCCACTTCAAGCGTGTTTATAGGAAGGTTAGGAANATATATATATATATATATATAGCCTATATTTTTAATTTGTATATTTGGTAATCAGTTGTAATTATTTGAGGTGCGGCATAATGTGTTAAAAGCCCTACAAAAATTACCCCAAATATCACAAGAATAAATAAATTATGTAATTAATAACACATGTATAATCAACATAATTCATGGCGTGAAGACGTGTAGGAATGGACATCCGGTGAATACAAAAATATTCATAAACCGTCTTCTCCGTCCAAAATAATATCTAGACTAGTCCAAATGTTACCAAGTTGCCTTTTGAGAAATTATTGTAGTTTGGCTCCAAAAAATAAAGCAAAATTTAATTAGTCCTGATTCGTGTCAAGAAGGGCAGACATCCCGATGCACTAAACTCCCGCTTAACCACAAGGATTTATTCTACGCAATTTTACCCTGTATTTTTGCAAGAGGATGTTTCTACGGCTCGAACATGTGACCTCCTGGTCACATAACAATAATTTTACCAGTTATGTCAAAATTATTTTCATATTCAAGGACATGTCCAATATATCTCTCGTTAAGTGAAGAGAATTTTAAGAAAAAATAATTCTTACCAATGTTATACCAATGAGGGAATCTTACGTAAATGTCTCAAATCAAATACGTTTCAACTTACCAACCTCTAGCCATTAATCATAGACTTACCAAAACTAGCCAATCACATATAAAAATTAAAAATCCAAATAAATAAGATTCTTTTTCTTCAAGAATCACACGCAAAGATCTTCTTCCATATTTTAAGTGTGATCAGCANATATATATATATATATGATTCCAAAAATCTAAGTAAAAAATGACCATTTTCAATGGATATAGTTGAAATTCATTGAAAACATATATATGAGTCAATATACACAATTTGAGGAAGATGGAAGGTGATTTGGACTGATTTGGTATCAAATTCGTAGTTAAAATCGAGTTCAAAAAACTTTTTTGCGACACATGTATCACGCATGTATCACACACAGGTATACATGGACATACATGTGATACACATTTGATACAAATATGATACATATGTGATGTATAAATGATACACAATATGATACACATAATTTTTTCATGTTTTATCTTTTCAATTCAAATCACCTCAAAACTCCGTCAAATCATCTCAAAACTGAGATTCAAACTCCTTACGATGTACCCAATCTATTCTAATAATACACACTCAAAAGAAAGTAAAGATTTGACCTTTTTTTTTTTTACTATAAATAGTTAATTAGCTAATATTGATAACATTTGGCTAATATTAGTAATATTTAATGAATAGGCCAATTTTTTAAATAAGCTACTTATAAACAGACATAACTAATAGTTTCTCCATTAATAATTGCAAGACGTGCATATTAGAGGGGGAAGTGCACAAATATCCGATTCACTATATAAGATTATAAGTTGTATCCGAAGTTGAATTTTTCTTCTTTTCTTTTTTGCAAACTTACCTACTTCGAGACACATTTCAAAATTCGCATGTGATCACGTTAAAATTTGCATATGAAGTTACAAATTTAGGGTTCAATATCGGATCTGAAGTTCTTCTATCGTTTCAAAAATGTAACTTCAAAATCGGATCCGAAGTTTTCTATCGTTTCAAAGTGCAACTTCAGAATAAGATCTAAAGTTTTTAGCACTTTAAAATGTAACTTCACAATCAGATCTAAAGTTTTTAGCACTTTAAAATGTAACTTCAGAATCATATTTTAAATTCTTGTATTGCAAAGTGCAAACTTCATGATCGAGATCTGAAGTTCATGCACAATGTTTGGAGGTCCACGCTTTGGAGATGGACAGTGGGAATTATGGAGCTTTCCAAATATTGAAATCAGATCTATATGATATGTTAGACTCCATAGAGATCGAATACACTTCATATTTGAAGACAAAAATCGAATTTTAGAATAATTTGCCTCTTTATTTCCTCAATCCTTCTCACCTACGGTTGATTCAAAGGCAGATAATCAGTTAGGGGTCGTTTGGTATGGCGTTTAAGAATAGTGCTAAATAAGGTGTTTTAGTAATGCAGGGATTAGTAATGTATGGGTTAGTAATGCAAGCATTAGTTATACAAAAATTATTTCTTATCCACCATTTGGTGTAGTGTATTAAAAATTAAAATGCATTGCATAATTTTTTAAAAAATTAGTAGTTGTTTACAAAAATGCCTTCCATATTCTTTAGCTTTAAGGGACTTTAAGGATAATTTTATCTTTAACCATGATAATGCATGCATTAAAAGGTCGTTTGGTAGGGTGTATAAGAATAATGTTGAATATGGTGTATTAGTAATGTTGGTAGTAGTTATGCCGACATATTTCTTATCCGTTGTTTGGTTTGATGTATTAAAATATTGCACAATTTGTAAAAGAATTATTTGTTTACAAAAATATCCTCATAACTAGACCATCACTTTATTTTTTTAAAAGAAACATATGTTGAGGAATGTTTTTATATGAACAAGGTTTTAAGAAAAATTATTTAATTTGTCTACCTATGTTGTAGTATAGAACTAAATATTTATTTATAAAAAAGAAAATATGCTAAGTATTTATTTATTTACTAGGGATGTAATTTTATTTTTCACTTTCTTGGATTATTTCAAACTTGCATTAATATAAAAGCTTATTTTAATCAAGCTATATTTTGAAGGACAATTTTATCTTTAACTAAGCTAATGCATGCATTAAAACTCATTGCATTGTTAATACCATGTATTCTTATGCATTACTTATGCATAGGATAATACCTTACGAGTCTGTAAAATCAGAATTTCGATCAAATCACAAATAGGATGTGTAACGAATGCTTGCATAACTAATGCATAGGTTCAAAAGTGTACAAACAAGATACTATGAATACACAAAGCTAATGCATGTATTATTTTATCTAATGTATCATACCAAACGATAATAGTCTTGCTATTGCTAATACCATGATTTGCGATGCATTAGTTATACATAGGATAACTAATACTTGCATTAGTAATACATAAGTTGAAAAAGTGTACCAAATAAGGAATTAGTAATACCAAAAGCTAATGCATGCATTATTTTCTCTAATGTATCCTACCAAACCACCTCTTAGTCGTAGAAGGGAGCCATTAGGAGATAATTATTGTCACGACCCAAAATTCAAAAAGGCCGTGATGGCGCCGGACACCATTGTCAGGCAAGCCAACCATAATCAATTAACTTAATTACCCATTTTAGTATTTTTGAAATAAAAATTTCTTCAATGAAATAGTAAAGATAAAACTCATAGAGTAAATGATAAATATTTTTAGCAACTAAATTTCTAAACAATTCACAACCATTCCAAAAACTCGGTGTCACAAGTGCATGAGCATTTACTAGGGAATTAAAATAAAATACAGCATCTGTCCAGAATACAAATTAGACAGGAATTAGCTGTGGATCGTAATATAGAATGCAGCTCACCTATGTCCCCACAATTATTAACCACACATCTGCGCCCACAAGGCCGCTATACATATATGTACCTACACAATAAAATGTGCAGCAAGTACAGTATGAGTACGAAAATAACGTGTACCCAGTAAGTATCAAGCCTAATCTCGAAGTGGTAGAGACGAGATAGCCGACTTTGACACTCACTATGGGTCAATAATAATAATTGAAATAAAACTAGAATATCTAAATCAGCATAATTCACAGGATTTACACTAATTTATTTAACCAGCA